TAATATTTGCATATAACATATACATCCTCCTGTATACTTTGTCATCTCTAAATTACTTCTAATACTTAATACAATGTAAGTGCTATATAAATAGTTGTTAAACTTTTTTTCTTTGCATTATTTTCATTTGTTGTATTGTTATTTTTCTGAATATTTTTGACTCATGGCTGGTTGAATCTGTGGATGCAGAAACCACAGAGATAGAAGGCCTAACAACATAGAGGCTAACGTGGATGTACCTAACAACACAGATCCAATGTATATAAAACAAACACTGAAAGAAATGGAGGAAGAAATAGACAATTCAGCAATAATGCAAAAAGTTTCAGCAAAGAAATAGAAGACCTAAACAACACCTAGACATAATAGACATGTATAGAACTCTAAATAGCAATAGCAGGGTACATATGCAGATAGAACATTCTCTAGGGTAGATCATATGGCAGCCCATTTTTTAAAAACTTAATAAATTTTTAAAAATTAAAATAATAATTATGTCTTCTCTTCACAATGGAATGAGAAGAGAAATCAGTAACAAAAAGAAATTTGGGGTATTCACAACCATATGGAACAACATACTCCTAAGTATTCAATGTGTTAAAGACGAAATAAAAGCATCAAAACATACTTTGACAGTCTGGACAACAAAGTGAGACCCCATCTCCACAAACAAATAATTGTAGCCAGGCATGGTGGCACACACCTGTAATCCTAATGACTCAGGAAAATCTCTGAGCTCAGAAGTTAGAAGCTTCAGTGAGCTGTGATCATACCACTGCACTGCAGCCTGGGTGTCTCCCAAGTGAGAGCTGGTCTTGAGGTTTAAAAACAAAATTTTTTTTGATAAGAGAAAATGAAGATACTACATGCTAAAACTTACAGAATGAAGCTAAAGCAGTGCTTAGTGGGAAATTTATAGCTATAATTGCCGAAATTAAAAAAGCAAGAAACATCCGAAATCAGTAGCCCAATCGTCCAACTTAAGACATTAAAAGAAGAGCAAACTAAACCCAAAGCAAGCAGAAAGGAGGGAAATAACAAAGATTAGAAATTAATCAAGTATGGAATATGAAAACAAGAGAAAATCAATGAACCTAAAAGATTATTATTTTGAGAAGATCAACAGATTGACAGACCTTGGGTAGACTGACCAGGAAAAAAGAAGACTCAAATTGATAAAATCAAGAATGAAAGAAAGGACATTACTACTGACTTTACAGAGTTAGAAAGGATCTTTAGGGAATACCATGAGCAACTGTATACCAACATAGAGTTTTGTTGTTATTTATGTTATTTCATGTTAGATAACTTATATGAAATAAAGACATTCCAAGAAAGACACAAACTACTAGAACTTACTCAAGAAATACAACTTCTGAATAGACAAGAAATTGAGCCACTACTGTTACCACCACCACCACCACTACTGCTACTATTTTTTTTTTTTTTGAGACAGAGTTTCACTGTGTCACCAGGCTGGAGTGCAGTGGTGCGATCTCTGCTCACTGCAACCTGTGCCTCCCAGGTTCAAGTGATTCTCCTGCCTCAGCCTTCTAAGTAGCTGGGACTACAGGCACATGCCACCATGCCCAGCTAATTTTTGTATTTTTAGTAGAGACAATATTTGACCATGTTGGCCAGGATGGTCTCAATCTCTGCATCTCATGATCCACCTGCCTCGGCCTCCGAAAGTGCTGGGATTACCGCGTGAGCCACCGCGGCTGGTCCAGACCATTATCTCTTATGAATATAAATACAAAATTCTCAACAACATTCTATCAAACCAAATCCAGCAACAAATAAAAATAATTATATGCCATGGCCAAATGGAATCTATCCCAGTAGTGCAAGATTGGTTTACCAACCAAAGTCAATCAATTTAATGTACCATATCAGCAGAATAAATAACACAAAGCATATGATTCTCCCAATAGATGTAGAAAAACAGCATTTTCCAAAATTCAACTTCTTCATGATAATACTCAACAAAGTAGGAATGGATGTGAACTTCTTAACCTGATAAAGGCATCTGTGGAAAAACCAAGAGCTAACATAATGCTTAATGGTTAAAGACTGAATGCTTTCCCCCTAAAGTCAGGAACATGGACAAAATATCCACTTTCCCACTTTATTCAACATTGTAGGCAAGAAAAGGACACAAAATGCCTCAGATTGAAAAGGAAGAAGAATTCTATCTAAAGATGACATGATCTTTTAAATAGAAAGTCCTAAGAAATCTACGCAGACACTACTAGAACTGATACATAAGTTGAGTAAAATTGCACTTAAGATTAACATACAAAAATCAATTGTATTTCTATACATTTGGAATAAACAATCTGAAAATGAAGCTAAAACCATTTAGGATCAACAGGAATAAAATTTTGGGGAATAAATTTAACAAAAGAAGTAAAAAAATGTATACTCTAAAAACTATAAAACATTGCTGAAAGAATGAAAGACCTAAATAAATAGAAAGGCATCCTATGTTTATTGATTGAAGGCAGCTATGCTCACCACTGTATCACCCATGCACCCCCAAGTTCATAGAGTTTACTGTTAAACTTAGAAAATATACAACCCATAACAGCCCTCTCAAAATGAAATAGCTTATTTTATAATGTCAAGTCTTTATTACCTTGGGCTGTTAGGTCAGTTCATCCCAAAAGTAGGAAGTAGATCACTTGATATTTTAGGTATGTCTCCTTAGATTTACAGTTACTTTTTCACAGTCTCCCAGTAAATGGGAAATAAAGCACTTTGTCCCAAGTAACAGTAATTTATAAGTAATTATTCCTGTTTTATAGATAAAGAACTGAAGCCCGGAGAGACTTAATTTGCTTAAGGAAGGACAGCTGTGGAGCCATTGTCTAGTTCAGATCCATCAATTACAAAGCCGTGTTTCTTTTGACTATGCCATGTTGCATTCGAAACAGTAGTACATTAGATTTTTTAAATAATAGACTGGCCTGTTAGGTTTCAGAGTGGTTTTGTTCAGAGACCCTGTTTATCATATATTCTAATATTAAGAATTTGTCTTCAATTGTGAATGCCATAAGCATCTATTTTGTGCTTACTGCATGCAGGCACTATGATGAGTAAATAGTGATGAATATATTAATCCTTACTTTAGCAGAGATAGTAAGTATGCAAATAAACAATTGCAGTATAGCAGGGTGCCTGCAGTGCTGAAAGTCTTAAATAAGTACAATGGTAACATAGAAGAAAGTGACCAACTCTGCTAGAGTGGCCATAGAAGATGAGATGATTGAATTGGACATTCAAGGCTATGTAGGAGTTTGTCAGTTGATGTACCTGTGCCTCTTTCTGTGTCATGACTGACTGTGGAAACCATTTATGCATAAACATGAGTATTGGGTTTTAAAATAAATAATTACCTTAAGGTAGGAAAAAAAGTTCATTATTAGTTTGCAGGAATGCTGTGTTCCTTTACACCTTTTTAATAATTAGATGTGTGTTCAGATATAATTAAAACTTCTTGGCAAAATACAGAAGCCTAAGAAGGGAAATGCTTTTTGTTGACATGTGGTTTGTAAACTGCATTGCAAAACAACTACCTATTAGAGTTCTTTAATTCTGTTGTATCTGCTTTTTGGAGTTTAAAGTTAAATGGACAAAGCAAAAGAAAAATTTGTGAGTTTGTGAAGAATTTAATTTTTTAATCAAATTGTGGTAAACTCAACAATATACTTGGGAAATATGCTTTTCAAAGTTTTCAGGAGAAAAGCTTTAAATTGCATTTGTGACTTTTCTAGTTGTTAATGGTTTTTCACACACAAATATTGTGTTAATGTTTCAGTGGTTTCTGATGAAACTGTAAAGCTTTTTAGCAACATTTATTTGGCAAAAAGTTTATTATCCTATCGGATTTTGAGCAGTTTCTAATTTGTATAGTTGTTACCTAAAATAATGAATGATAAATAAGTTCTGAGTTTCTGAGTTTTAGAAGACATGTCTAATTAGAGCCATATATCAACATAACTATTTTTGTATGTTTTTTTCTTTTTTTTTTTTGAGATGGAGTTTTGCTCTTGTTACCCAGGCTGGAGTGCAATGGCGCGATCTCGGCTCACTGCAACCTCCGCCTCCTGGTTTCAGGCAATTCTCCTGCCTCAGCCTCCTGAGTAGCTGGGATTAGAGGCACACACCACCATGCCCAGCTAATTTTTTGTATTTTTAGTAGAGACGAGGTTTCACCATGTTGACCAGGATGGTTCTCTATCTCTTGACCTCGTGATCCACCCGCCTCGGCCTCCCAAAGTGCTGGGATTACAGGCTTGAGCCACCGCGCCCCGCCTGTATGTTTTTTTCTTAATTAACCAGCTCGCTTATTTATTTCTTAATGTAGCCTTTTGGTCACCTATTTCATGATCCCCCTTGGGATAAATAGAGAAAAATGAAAGGGAAATGGGAATCTTCTATTTTTAGAATCTTTGATTTGACCAAGTTTTAATACATTTTTTGGGCTAAATGAAAGATTACTACCCAATATAAATTTTTGGAAGTGCATGTAGACAATTCTGGAAAATAGGGAATCTGTTTACAGGTGACTGGCAATTATTACAAATGAAAGGATGGGACTTTGTGGTTTTTTTTTTTTTTTTTTGGTTTTGGTTATTGCAGTGGCTGATGTTTTGATACTACAGAATAGGTTAAGTATGCATTATATGGTGATGGCAGAGGTTTCTGATATGCTGTATTTGTGAAAATGTATTCAAATATATGCAGATTTTAGTTATGGTTTTAATGGCAATACTCTTTGCAAACTCATTTGATTATATTTAAGGTAATCATTCTTTTGTGAAACTGTATTGCTATCTGAATCTAAAAATCTATCTACATGAAACTATATGCTAAACTGTGTATATAGCAATGTATTAAAATCAGTGCCTTCTGGTGAATCCAAAGTGATTAAAAGGAAACACTGCTTTTCATTTATGAATACAAGTTAAAGAAAGACAAATATATTTCATTTTTAGATTATATAAATGGTGGAGAACTTTTTACTCATCTTTCTCAAAGAGAGCGTTTCACAGAGCACGAGGTGCAGATTTATGTTGGAGAGATTGTGCTTGCCCTCGAACATCTCCACAAGGTAAGACACTTCATTTTTCAAGTTTCTTTTTTGAAGTCTGTTAACTAAGGTAATAATGGAGCTAGAAGAGCTAATGTTTTTACATGTTATTGTCTTAGTGGAGATTATGAAAGCACACTTAAAGAAGAACATTACCAGTTTTCTCAATTTCATAATTCTGTTTGAAAAAAAATCTACTTTTCAATTGTACTTGCTGTGATGCAGATTAAAAAGATAGAACCTAAGCAATTTTTGACTTTTTTTCAGGAAAAATCCTAATGCTTATTTGTTACAAAGTATCATTAAAATAAAGGCTTTTAATTATTAAAATAACCAGGAAAATGAAACCATCAGTCTTAATACATATTTCCTTCATTGTAATTTACTGCATTGCAGACTCTGCCTGTACATCTTTAGGGTGTGTCCTGATGAGGTTGGAGAATAAGTGTTATTTTCCACTCTCCCACTCTGGCTTTCTTTCCATTTGTTTTGTCCCTGACACCATCTCTTGCTCCCACCTGCTCTCTACTCCATTGTCCCCAGGTAGGATGAACTCTTACTAAAAAATTTTACATAAAATTCATGTCTGTGACCCTATTTAAACTGTAACAATCAGTTTAAACTTTAAGAAATGTTATTGCAGGCTGAATGTGGTGGCTTATACCTGTAATCCCAGCACTTTAGGAGGCCAAGGCAGGCGGATCACCTGAGGTTAGGAGTTCAAGATCAGCTTGGCCAACATGGAGAAACCCAGTCTTTACTAAAAATACAAAAAATTAGCTGGGCGTGGTGGTGCACGCCTGTAATCCCAGCTACTTGGGAGGCTGAGGCAGGAGAATCGCTTGAACCTGGGAGGTGGAGGTTGCAGTGAGCCAAGATTGTGCCATTGCATTCCAGCCTGGGCAACAAGAGTGAAACTCCGTCTAAAAAAAGAAGAAAAAAAGTTATTGCAGATACCATTAATCTTGAGCCAAGAAATTTTGACTCCATTTTTTGTTTGTTTTACTTAACGAGGAAATACTGCAGATGCAGTCTTTCTGTAGGCTCATGTTTTTCTTTCTGTAGGCTCTGTAGTCTTTCTGTGGACTCGTGTTTTTCCTCAGAGACAGAAAGTACTCAAGTAATTTTTAAATTAGGACAATTCAGGTACATCATGAAGCCACCCTTCCTTGTCATGTTGTATTCGGGTCCTACACTAATTTAAGATAGAGATTCAAGTGCTGATTACACAGCATAGAAAAGAAAGGAGAGAATTGGAGGGAAAAGGAAGGGTGAAGGATGAAATTTCTAAAGGAACAGGCAGCAAGGTAGAGGTAACAGATGGGTGAGGCTGTGAGAATAAATGATAAAATGTAAGAAAAAAAGAGATCAAGAAAAGGGCAGATCCAGCCAGAGCAGAAGCAAGACCTGCCAGGTGAGGGGAGATTGGTCAGAGTAGGAATCTTAAGGAGACTGAACAAAAAATATGTGAGAACAAGGAGAGAAAGAAACCTTTGGCAATAGGAGGTGGAGGGCAGGGCTGCAGCGCAATGCAGAGGAAGGGGAACGAGGTGCAGTAAAGTAGGCACTCAAACTGAGGTAATGAAAACAGACACTTGGACTTCTTTTGATAGAAGTATTGATACAGTAACAATCTTTAAGATGATTTCTGTAGGATATAAGACAGTTAAGACATTTTCTTTTTTCTTTTTCTTTTTTTTTTTTTTTTTGATGGGGTTTTTCTTTTTTTTTTTTTTTTGGAGTGCAATGGCGCGATCACGGCTCACCGCAACCTCTACCTCCTGGGTTCAGGCAATTCTCCTGCCTCAGCCTCCCGAGTAGCTGGGATTACAGGCACGCACCACCATGCCCAGCTAAGTTTTTGTATTTTTAGTAGAGACGGGGTTTCACCATGTTGACCAGGATGGTCTCGATCTCTTGACCTCGTGATCCACCCGCCTCGGCCTCCCAAAGTGCTGGGATTACAGGCTTGAGCCACCGCGCCCGGCCAAGACATTTTCATATAAGAAACAATTGGACCCAGGAATACACTGCAAAGAAGGACCTTTGGAACTTATGATTTAGGGGAATTAGCTTATGATATAAAAATGATGATAGAAATCATTATAAATATGAGTAAAAAACAAAATGAATAGCTCCAGTGGGTAAGCTAGAAAGTCCAGTGTAGTGGTGCGATCTCGGCTCACTGCAGCCTCCACCTTCCCAGGCTCAGGTGATCCTCTGATGTCAACCTCCCAATCAGCTGGGACCCAGGCACATGCCATCACACCTGGCCACATTTTGTAGTTTTTATAGAGATGAAAGGTTTTGCCATGTTGCCCAGGTTGGTGTTGAACTCTTAGACTCAAGCAATCTGCCCGCCTCAGCCTCCCAGATTGTTGGGATTACAGGCTTGAGCTGCTGTGCTCATCCGAAAATCCAGTTTTTAATTTATGTGAAACTTGCCCATAGTCAAACACAGAAGTAAAGAAAACAATGAATACTGGATATAACTGTAACTGATATGGAATGGGAGTAATATAGCAAATGAGATCGCGGTTAACCTTACTAAAAAGATACAGATAATTATAATGCAAAGCCAGCAATGTTAATCTTGAAAAGCTACTAACATTGGGTTTCACAGGAAGAGGCAAAAATGGATGTTTACTTGCAAGTAATGGGGTGACACAGGTGGTAAATTACTTGTTTCTAAAATGCTTTCCAAAAAGGCGTTTTTTTTTTTTTTTTTTTTTTTAAGGAAAAAGCATCTCCTGGTTGTTAGATGCATGTAATGCTTGAAGTCAGTGTCCCTTCAATATAAGCCTTAAATATTTTCCTTCCTGTATGTCTTGTAGAACACTGAGGCTCTTGGAGGAAAATTGCTTAGCGCTTTTGTGTTTTGTTTTGTTTTGTTGATACCAGGTCTTAGTCCATTGCCTAGGCTGGAGTGCAGGGGCATGATCACAGCTCCAAACCTGCTGGGCTGAGGTGATCCTCCTACTTCAGCCTCCCGAGTAGCTGGGACAACAGGCATGTGCCACCACGCCTGGCTAATTTTTGTATTTTTTGTAGAGACAGAGTTTTGCCATGTTGCCATGCTAGTTTCGAACTCCTGAGCTCAAATGATCTTCCCATCTTGGCTTCCCAAAATGCTGGAATTACAGGTATGGGCCATGCGTGCCTGTCCCCCCCTTTTTTTATTCCGTTTTTAAAAAATAGAGACAGGGTCTCGCTCTGTTGCCCAGGCTGGAATGCTATCATAGGTCACTGTGGCCTCAAACACCCTGGGCTCAAGTGATCCTCCTGCCTCAGCTTCCCAAGTAGCTCTAGGACTACATGTGTGCCACCACACCCAGCTAAGTTTTACAATTTTTTGTAGAGATGGGTCTCACTGTGTTGCCCAGGCTGGTCTTGAGCTCCTGGATTCAAGTGACCCTCCTGCCTCAGCCTTCCAGAGTACTCAGATTACAGGCGTGAGACACTGTGCCTGGCCCCTAGTGTTTTTCTGTATGTATAATTTTGTTTTTCATTTTAAGAGATTATTAAGAACTTTCTCATATTCTTAGTGTTGAGGAAAACAATATTTCTAAGTTTAGAAACATTTAATTCAGGCCAATGTAACTAAAAACATGAAAAATAGAATTCATGCAGATCAAGCACCTCTTGTATGAGTTGGATAGTTGTATTTGTTATATAGCTGAAGTGTTTTGCTGTAGAACTTACAAAAAAGTAAGTTTTACAAATGCAAAGTAAAATAGAGTAAATGTTACTTAACTGATTGACTTTGCTTATTTAGAACTAAAGTTTGAGCCTAGTACAGTGGCTCACACCTGTAACCCCAGCTACTCTGGAGGCTGAGGCAGGAGGATAACTTTAGCCCGGAAGTTTGAGGCTGCAGTGAGCTAGGATCATGCCACTGCATGCCAGCCTGAGTGACCAAGTGAGACCCTATCTCAAAACAAAAAAGAAAGAGAAAAAAAAAAAGAACTAGACTAAAATTAACCTATGATCTTCAACCTTTATGTTTAAGAGCCTGTTAATCAACAATTCTTTATCAATTACCTATTTTATACATGGTATGTTGCACAAATACTGGATATATACATAAAAAAAAGGTGAAAAACAGTTAGTATAGGTATATAAAGACGAATAGGATATACCTAGAAAATATCAGTCATACATAGGTAAGTATAATATAAACATAGGTGTTGTAGGATGAAAAACAAAGAAATTACCAGGGTGGGATCTGGTTAGTCAGAAAAGCCTTCTGAAACCATTAGGAAGTGATGGACAAGAATTGGCTACAAAAGCACCTGAAGGCCATCTAGAGTGAGGGTGAAATAGGAAGCGTAGAGACATGAAGAAGCACTAGTCAAGAGGGAGGCCCTAAAGAAGCTGACCCAACAAGGTAGACCCTGTGTACGAGGAGAGCTAAGACATGGTTAGAAAGGTCCAGGGAACCCAGCAGATAAAAGAATTTACATTTGCCCTGACCAGTCACCAAGGGCCATCACAGGATCCTGAGGAGGGAAGTACCTTTTTTTTTTAAAAAAAAAAAAAAGGTAGATAAGAAAGACTGTCCTAATTCATTTTTTTGTAAATTATTTTAAAATTCATATTTGTTTGTTTTTGCAGTTGGGGATTATATATCGTGACATTAAGCTTGAGAATATTCTACTTGATTATAATGGCCATGTGGTGCTGACAGATTTTGGTCTCAGTAAGGAGTTTGTGGCTGATGAAGTGAGTATGATATTTTAATTTGAAGTTAATAATAACACAATGTAAACAAGGATGACAACTTAGCTGCAGAATAAACATTTAGTAGAAAACTGCCATATGAATTTGAACTTTCGTGCAGGGTTTGCCCAGGGGAACATTTTGACATGAAAATGTAGAGATTTTTAGTTTAGAATTAATAGGGGACCATCCTGTTAAAATTGCTGTAAAC